GCACATATCTCTCTGCATATAGTTTGCAAAGTTTGACTTGGGTTGCAGGACTTAGTGAATATTCAGTGAGTTTCTCTCTTTTTTTAAACCTTTGTTATATTTTTTAAAATTAAAAAATGTTTGCTTGGGCTGCAGCAGAAGCCCAAGATGACGCAGTACTGCCTACAGAAAGGAAAAGCACTACAGAAGGCGGAGCCATGAGGGTGCGCTTGACTCGGTTGAGGCCTTCCCGGCCCCTTGCTGCCGCCCTGCTTTCAAGCTGGAGGAAGGTCCCCTCACCGGTGCACCCTGGAGAGGGGGCAGGGGCAGGAGGCTGGACAGGTGAGCACAGGGTGGTTCCCCTGGCCAGGAGAGGGACGCAAGGAGGGAGGTAATGGCTACTTTCCACGGGCTGAGGCAAGGAACAGGGCCACGGCTGCCCAAGCGGGGCGCCTCCTGCCTCTCCCCGCTGCAGGGGAAAGAACCATGGCAGCCGCTTGATGGCAGTGGCAGCTTGCCCTGAGAAGACTGCAGTGGAGGTGCTGGAGCCACAGCCCAACTCCTACTCCACCTCTCACCACAGCGGGGGGGTGGGGGGGAGAAGCATGGTGGCTGCTCGATGGCGGCGGCTTTCCCTGAGAAGGCCGCGGCGGAGGCGCAGGAGCCGCGGCCCCACTCTTGCTCCACCTCCGCCCGTCCATTCCGAGGCTCAGTGAGGCACCCGTAGTTTGGCCTGCAGCCCAGGGACGTGGCTCATATAGCTAAAATATATTTAAAAAGTTATATTTTTCTTACCTTCTATCTTTTTTTAGTGTCTTCATCTCTCTCTCTCTCTCTCTCTCTCTTCCCACCACCCTCCTCTCTCCAGTATTCCCACTCTGTAATGCGTGCAATAGGGGGAAGAGCCAGTGCGCACACAGTTGAAGGGAGCTGTTACAATTTGGTGCTTGTGCCGGCTCTCTGCTAGTCTCCAAAACTGAGTTTCAGAGACCGCCTGTGCTGGCTCAGAGCTTTCAGACTCGTTCAGAGATCGTTTTCTCTGAACAAGTCCCGAAACCTCTGAGGAGGGCTGGGTAAATGACCTTGGCAGACCATATCCGGCCCATGGGCTATAGTTTGAGGACCCCTGGTCCAGAGGGACACAAATTCCCCACCTCTGCATTGCGAGTCACCGGTGTTGCCCGAACTAGGATGCTACCTGCTTGTTAACAAACCATCTCCACTTAAGAGAGAATTCACTGTCCTCCCTCTCCCAACAGCTCCGTATTCTTTCTAACAGGCTTAGCAATAGTTGGGCAGGGCCTAGTTCGTAAGATGTTTTATATGATAAATTATGAAGATTAGATTTTCATCAGTCCTCTGGCAGATGATCGCTCCTGCCCCTCCCGCCCGCATCCTCTGTGAAGGCGGGAATCCAGAACAAGGCAGCCGGGGAAGGCGAGAGCGGCTTCTCTCGACGCGGCAGCAGCTACCACTGCTGCAGTTCGAGCGCCTTGTTGCGGGAGGCAGCTCAGCAAGCCCTCCGCCTTGCCGCCGCCTCCAGCCTCGCCCGGCAGCTTCAGCTGCTTGCTCTCCGTCTGCGGGTCCGTCGGCTCCGCATTTCGTGGCAAGCGGCAGCTTCCGCCGCCGGGGAAGCGACTGACGGAGACGGGCGGGCGACGTGGAGCTTGCTTGGAGCAGACGACTTGAGCGCCTCGGAGCAGCCTTCGGAGCGCGGGAGACTTTAGTGCTACGGCGGCGGAGAGACCCGCAATGTGAAAAGCGCCGGGGAGGAGTCCGCCTTCGTGCTCCCTGCCCCGCGCCACGAGGCCGAAGCGGTGTGTTTGCGTGCGGCGGCGGTGGCGGCGTTGCCTCACCGGGCAACGAGGCGACGCGAGCGGGCTGCGGCCAGCAGGCAGCAGCGCTGGCTGCCCGCCCGTCGCTCCGCCGGGTCGAGGCAGGATGGGAGCGAGAGGGACCGAGGCGCCGTTTCCTCTGCGCAGAGGAGGCGTCGGCTGGCAGGGCTGAAGGAAGGAGAGCGACCGGCCTCGCTTGAGCTATGTGCGCGAAGGTAAAACGATGCGTGAAAATCAAAGTCCTTTCTCGGCTTCAGGGCACCCGCGGCGAGCGTGAACTTTTGGCCTTTGAGGGAACCCGGGAAAGTTGCAGTGTGTGAATGCGTGCGGGGTCGCAGGCAGCAACGAAGAGTCTTGTGGCGCCTTCAGAGACAGCTTTGGGTGGCTTTCGATTTTCGCGGCAGAAGACTAAGCGACCGCTTTTTTGCATTAATCCTAAATCCCTGTGTGTGCTTCGCGTTTTTGTCCTTACCTCTCCTTTTCCTGCCTACCTGTGTTTCCCTTCTCTTTGTCAAAATGTAAACTGTAACTTCCTCGAGGCAGGGACTTGCCCTGTTGTTGTTAGTCCGTAAACCGCCACATCTGTGTACGCGATGATTATGATGATGCAACGTGCAGTGATGGTGAGGGGTTGCCTTCACAACTAGTAAAGCCTTTATGGTGTATGTGAGGTGGTGGTGATGGTGGTTAATTATTATTTATGCGTGTATCACTTATTTGCTGCCTCTTTTCCATCTCGAAACTCAAGGTGGCGTACGAGGGGCTTCTAAACAGCAACATTTGAGGCAAGCGCTAAATAGATCCAGAGCTGCTTAGCTCCAGCACGGTGTTTTCACGATTTGTGGGCACACAAAGCATGAATCCTGGTAATACTCATTTCCTGCCAAGTAGTTTGCCTCTGAAGTTTTAGGAGGTGCTTAAGTGTTTGAATCAGGCACTGTTCTCTTAAATATGTTGTTATAATTATTTGTTTTGTCTCCTTTTTAAAAATATGGAAATCCCATTATATTTGTCATCTTTCCAAACCTGGTGGAGTTTATCCCACTTTAAAGATTGGGAAAGCTGAGTCTGAAAGCTAAATTCCAGAAAAGTAGCAGTGTTTGTTGGGTGCAAAGGGTTAACTAGATTAAGGGTTGGAGACAGATGAGAGCTTTTTTTATATAAAGTGGCTTGAGAGAAGCATAATATATTCAGCCGCACTTACTCATTTTGTCTCACTGGTAAGACTGATAAGTCTTGTTCCAAAAACCTTTTTATCAGAAATGAAGGTAGAGTTAGTGGACAGTCAATGCATGATGATGTAATCTTTCAACCCACCTTAAATCTCTGAAAAGCCCATCATCTGCTTCAGCCTGAAAGCATTCAAAAGAGCCCCTTTTGGAGCCTACTTCATCGGAAATGATGACACTGGGCCTTGCTTACAAGAACTCATGCCACAATAAACTTGTTAGTTTTTAATGCACCAGTTCTGTGTGGACTTGCTGGGAAATAAGTCCCAATTAATTTAATGGGGCTTATTTCTGAGTAGATACAGATCTCTGAGGCTGAAAAAGTGGTTTGCTCCAGAGATTCTGTTTATGAGATAATGTAAATAATGTAATGTAAACTAGCTAATGTAAACCAGCTTCTGACTGGTTACAGTTCTTTACCCCCAAAATGACATGAAATAGCATGAAACTCTCCATAATATTCCAGGAAGTGGGTGACAGTCAAAGGAAGCTTGTGCCAGAAAAAAATTCTTAGTCCTTAAGGTACTGCAAGACTGTTTCAGAGGGTAGCCATTTTAGGCTATTTCAGGGGGAGGAGGGAAACCAGGAAGGAGTGCTTCTAGGCTCTTTAATGCTTTTTCATGTAATGAGCCAGAACTTGAAGCCATGGTTCAAATCTGGCACTATCTACTGCATTTACCACAATAATACTTCCATCTCTTTGCCTTGTGGTGTTTCAGCATCCTGGGATGTAAATGAGTTTGCTTTCCCTCTAGGTTTTCAGTAGATGGGATGTTTCCCCAAGAGCCCCACACTAGAGGAAGTTGTGTGGGCTGTAAAATAACTTGCTGCTACCCTAAATGGCCAGTGAGAACCTGTGCAATTAGATGGGATGCTTCAAAATACTTGATCTTGAATAGAATGATTTCAAGCTATTTTCATCAAAAACAGTAACTGTTTCTGCTTTGAGCTTGGGAAATGAAACAGGCTTACAAGTATTCTTACATTAGAAAGGAGGGCTGAAGTAGAGATAGTCAGAATATTAATTTATAGTCTACAGATAGATTGTCTAAAAGCTAGAGAATTTATGGTTTGAGATTGTGCCTGATGTTTAGTACAATTCTTGAACTATGAAATCTTTCTACAAATTAGAAAGTAAAATGATACTGCTGCAACACACAACTCTTGTTTCAATATGTTGAACTTAGCTTGTTGGAGTGTGGGATTTTATACATAGGTTTTTTAAAAAAAGGAAAGATTATAATTTATTCACTAGCAGGCCACTGCCAAAGTGAATGGAAGATTAATAAAAATCATGGTCTGTGCAGCCAGAAAAATTAAATATATTGGAGAGTAGTGAGCTCTGCTATCATTTGGAAAATTTTATTTCTTTCCATGTGCATCCAGTTTGCACAGAGTTAGCTACATGACTTTTTTTCCAAATGTAAAATCAAGATTTAAAAGTGTACCTTATTTGCAACTCATTCTCATCCTAGTATACTGTGAAATATCTCTAACATGAAGCTCCCCCTTTAATCATTTTATAAATAGTATGCTTTTTGTATAAATGTCTGATTATCCAGATGTTTTGGATGCCCTTAAGCTTTATATTGATTTTTCTCCTCTGGTGATTTACAGTGATTAAGATGCCAAATCTCTGACCTGTCTTTAAAAAACCCTGCAAGCTGTTTAGAATGATGTAGGTCACTATTCTTATCTAAGAGATAGGGAATTGAGGCTGAGAAGCATCAACCTATGCATGAATGCCAAACAATTCCATAGCTGTGTTGTAATCTGAAATAAATTTCCCTGTCATATGTATGACAGATGAAAGTGTATATGCTATTTATTGTTCAGAAAATGCGGACTGTGTTCTGAAATGTCCTAACTGATCTCTTTCCTAGGGACTGTGGATTGACAAAGCAGCTCCCTTTGATGTGAATGAAACATGTTCTGCCCCTCTGGGATTCCTTAGGTGATGCCCAGCAATACTGCAATGGCAATTGGGGCTCTCTCTAGTTCCCTTCTTGTGACCTGCTGCCTGATGGTTGCTCTCTGTAGCTCCACTACACCTCTGCAAAAACTGACCAAGGCTCAAGACAAGCAGGAAATTAAAGCAAGCCAGGAAAAGAGGGACCACACATCAGCCCGGGAAAGCCAGAATCAGACTGGACCAGGGAAAATGAATGAAATGGGCAGAAATGGGAGGGAGGAAAGTGCCAGAGACTGGAAGAGCAAAATCAACCGAAATTATGCTAACAAAGAATCTTGGACAAAGCAAAAACAGGCTCTGAGTAGCCAGGCAACAAGCAGTAAGTTTGGAAGCCTCCAAGCCCAAGATCAAATTGATGCTGCTCGGGAGGAACTTCCAGCCGCCGAAGATCCCTCCCTTTTGGATGTTGTTGCTAGCATGACCCCTGAACCTCCAGAGGAATACGCTTATCCAGATTACCGTGGAAAAGGCTGTGTGGATGAGAGTGGCTTTGTTTATGCTATTGGGGAAAAGTTTACTCCAGGCCCATCTGCATGCCCTTGCCTTTGCACTGAAGAGGGTCCTCTGTGCATTCAACCTGAGTGTCCTAGACTCCATCCTCGTTGTATTCATGTAGACACTAGTCAGTGTTGCCCACTGTGCAAAGAAAGGAAAAACTACTGTGAATTTCGTGGGAAAATCTATCAGACATTGGAAGAATTCATGGTAAGGCAGTGTCAGCGGTGATGGTGGATTTCCACTGAGGATATTTCAGTCGATTATTCTAATGGCCTCTCCTGTTGTTTTTCATTTTCTCAATTTTTTAAAATTTGAGACTATTTTAGATCTTCCATTAATTTGTGGTCCTGAAAAAACAAGAACCTTTTTTGTTGAGTAAAAAGAAATAACGTTTAAGAACATGGTTATTATTTAATTTCCATGTTATATAATTAAATATTTAAAGGCCATAATCACAGTTAAGTCTTCCAAGAGTGACATTTAAGTTAAGCCATTTAATAGAGACCTGTGGATTGTGTTTTCAGAATATTGTTCCTGTTTTATGATCATTACAAAGTTTCATTTGGGAGGTGAGCATGCTACCTGTGAATAAGAATGTGCTATAAAGGATGTATTTATGTGATGTGGTTCACTATATTCCCTCCTACACACACACACACACACACACATTTTGTGGCTCTTTGAATGAGAACGTCAGAGTTATGTAACCTTATACTTGTCAGAGTGATTATACACCTTTGGTATAATACTTTCAGGAACCATTATATGGTGAGTTTAACCAGGGTCAACATTTCTATCTGATAAAGCTCTCTTCCAAATGAGGCAGTATTTTTATTATCCTGGGAAATATAATTTGTGCTCTCTAGAACATTACAGTGATTTGGGACTTTGGAATCAACCAGAATTTGCCTGCATGTTGATTACAAAAGGTTTTTTCCTTTATATGTATGTAGATAATTACATCTACATGCTTTTTGGAGAGCATGTCTCTACAGCTGGAATTACACATGCTGTGCAGTTGCATACATGTTTTTCCTAACCGTTTAGAAAACTTGAGGCCATAGCAGAATTCAATCTTGAATGGAAGAGGTAACATGGTGTGGGACTATTTTACCCTTTCTCTGTTGGTCACTGTTGCTTCTCTTGAGCACAGTGGAAAACACTAAGAAGCCCTTTTTTCCTTTGCTTCCTTGGTCCCTCACTAAAGATCGTAATCTCCACAATTTAACACAAGTGCATGTCATATGTAGTTTTATGTGATTGTCTTAATCAAACTTCAAATCTTAAGAAATTAGTTCCTGAGATTAGAGCAGATGAGATATTACTGTGTAATTAGGTGGCTTCTGCTTATCCATAACTGCACCCCTGCACCCCTTAGATGAATTTCGTCTGCTTCCATTTATACTGATCTAGCATTGTGTCTGACCAAGGTTAGGGTTAACTCTGGAATGAAGGGGGATTCTAAAAGCTGCTTTTGGAATGCCTCTGTTTTTGTGTTAACCAAAGGTAACCAAATGCCATACTAGGGTAAAGGAGGCAAGGGAGTTCATGCATGGGATGAAAAGTCAATGATTCCATAGTGGCCAGTTTATGTGATTCCATAGCGGCCAGTTTTCCCTGTCCTGTGCATGACATACATTTGCTGACTAATTTCCATAATTAATTGTACTCCATGTGGGTTGCTTTGTTATCTGAATCCAACTAGGTGGGCTTCCAAACAATCCTGCAAACTGGTGGTTAGTTTTAGGGTTCTGAATTGGTTTGGAAACCACCTGTGCCGGGTTTAGATATAGCCTGTGAACAATGTGGATAATTATGGAAATGAGGCAGCACACACTACTGCCATGCATGGGGTAGGGCAAGTGTGAATTCCCTGAGTATTTCCTGGCCAGCGCCAGATTGACCTGGCTTGCATAATCACTCATGGGCTGTTGCTGGGGTACTTGAGGATTGTTTCTCCCTCCAAAAAGCCATGTCATTTGTATTCAGCTGATATGACAAGCCACACTCAGCAGGCTAATTTGGCAAATGCTGCCCACTACATGCTAACTTCAACCTACTGCGGCTTGATTTACCCCTGGTGAACGTGCAAACTGGCCTTTTATGTATACATTGGAAATAGAGGCAGCAAGGAAATAGTTATAAAGAAATTTACAGCTTCAACAAGTACCTAATATTCTCAGGAAGAAAATGAAAACGTAAGTCATAATTGTACTGTTATCTCCTTTTTGTTGTAAGTGGCATTCATGTACACCTAAGAGGATTTTTTAAAAATCAAAGCATCTGTATTATTCAGATTCTTATGTAAAACAACAAAAAAAAATCAGGATGAATCAGAATACTTCATCCCTGCAAACTTAATTGGAATAGCTGTTTGGATACTACATCCATAAAGTGCTGTAGTATGCAAAATTTATATGGGTTTTACCTAGGCACAAGTCAAGTGATTAACAAATGAGGTGTGTATATTTTAACCTTTTAGAAAACTTTTGGTTTTACTTTATTTTTATAGTTCTCTTATAGCTTGATCTTGCAGTCTTAAGACAAGAGTCCCTCATATGGCACCCACACATAACTCTTTTGTTCTCTGTGCTCCCCTTACTAGTTTTTATTGTTTTTACAATACCCACAGTCTCTAGTGTGGAAGAGCTCACCACCTCTCACTGTGATTTTCCCTTCTGTTCTGCAGCCCATGAGTAACAGAACATGCTTTTTCTGTCAGGCTGGGAGGAAACAAGGCCCTACAAGTGCTCCTTTTCAGACTGATGGCTGGGGTAAGGCAGGCCTGCTATGATGTTCTTCCCAGGTGTCAGGAATTTTAGGTTTTCTGTTCCCTTACACCTCTGAGTGGTGGATGAGGCCAGAGTGTGCACCTTTTTAGCTGTGCTGTCTCAGAAGAACTTGTAGGTATCAATCATAGGCCAGTTGTCTTGCACTGTTTGTCAATCATTAGATTACATTTCAGCTGAATATTTTAGCATGATTATAATTTGATCTCAACAGTTGAATTTTCTTTAAGATTAGTTTCTTGTTTTCTTGACATAAATAAAATACAGAAAAAGAAAGGTAAAGGTAAAAAAGAAACATAAAAATTAAAATAAAATTGCCAAGGGATTTTGAACAAATATAACCAATACATTCAAGTCCACAAATTTCAAAGAGACTGAAAATATCTATCTATGGAAGTTCAGGAAAAGGGGAATTATAGAAACATAGAAACAGAGTGAGTCAGAAGGGGTCTCCCAGGCCATCTAGTCTGACCCCTGGCACCAGCCGGCTCCGCTCATGACATGCCCACCATGCTATTATTCTGTATCCCAACAAATTTTCCAGTCATCATCTACAGCTTCATCTACAGTTGAAATTTATAGATGTGGCATCAAGTAGTCTCTAACCTAAAGAAATGATACAAATGAAAACCCTCCAACATTTCCTATCTGTGACATCCCTGCATAGTTGTTCTAAATGTAAGACTATGGCTTCCTTTATGGTGTCAATCCATCTTTTATCTGGTTTTCTTCTTCTGCCTTCGACTTTCTCTACCATGATTGGCTTCTCCAGGGAGTCTTGCCTTCTCATGATGTGTCCAAAGTATGACAGTCCCAGGGTTGTCATTTTCACTTCTTCAAAAAGCTCTGGTTTGATTTGATCTAGGTTCTACTTTTTCGTTTTCTGTCAGTCCAGGGCATTTGCAAAGCTGTCCTACAGCACCATGTTAGAATTGCATCAATTTTCTCCCTGCCAGCTTTCTTCACTGCCCAGCTTTCATGCCCATACGTAGTCCTTGGGAATGCAATGGTATGAATGATCTTTCTCCAGTGAAAAATCCTTATACTTGATGATCTTTTCTAGTTCCTTCATTGCTGCCCTTCCAAGTCTCAGTCTTCTTTCAATTTCTTAGGTTCAGTCTCCCTTTGAATTATCCCCACCCCGGCCTTGATATATGAGCCATTCATTTGAAACTACTGAAATCTAGGCAAGACCTTGAGTAGTAACTGAAAAACATAAAGCATCTTGAAATGAACATACATGTCAACCTAGACCAGGTTCTCACAGAAAGTATACTTAGAATTAAAGCATCACACGTAACAAACTAATAGTGAATGAATTACATGTTGCACGTTCACATAACATTTTCAGAGGATCATAAGTACAATGATCAGTAGTCAATCTTTGCCTGGGAGAAAGAGGAAAAGCCCCTAATATGGAAAATCCAAGGACTGATTCCAGTCTCCATATAGGTTGATAATTTTAAAAGTTGTTGATATTGAACCAAGCAGAAGGTTGTTCAAACATATTAATATAAATATTCACAAACCAAAAGTGATGGAACATGCTTCATAACTGAGGAAACAGTTCATAATTGATAGAAGAGGCATTCCCCTTTCCACAAGAAAGAAGGCCTCTTTTGGAATGTTTTGTTATGATACCTGAATAATCTAAAAATGAAGAATGCTTTTTCCCTTTAAAACAGTTTATTCATATGGAAATCCATGCATATTTAATTCAGTAATCCATAAAAACATATGATTAATCAACCAAGATTTCTTTAATCAGATGACAGCCTTTGTATTTTTATCTTACTCTGCTTGCAGCAAAAGTTAACTAATCAGCCACCTATTTACATACACCCCTTTGCTTTTTCAGCTGTGTGTGTCAAACTGAAGGGGATTTTTTATTTTTCTGATCAAACTACTTCTAATGTTCAATCAACCTTTAACTGCTATTACAAATACAATTCCATAATAAAATCCCCAAGGTTTATAAAGTTAGAAAAATAAGAGAAGATATTTACAATTATCAAGGAAAAGTAAGCAACTAAGAATGTCCTGTCCCACTCTGCACTTAAACTAAAAAGTCCTTAGTATTAACATACTCTCTCCTTATATTAAACATCTTCATATTGTTAGTCATACAGTTAGCCTTTTTCTTCTTTACAGACAAAACTGCACTTTTAACAAATTGTAAAATTGAGTATTTTCTGTACTACACAGTTTGTTCTATCTTATTTATTTATTGGATTTATAAACTGTACCCAGTAGTCTCACACAGGACTCTTCCAGACACTTGCCATTGAACTTCTGTTTTGGAGGATTATACAGGTTATGTCATAAAATAATGTGTCCCAGGGTTTTTACTTCAGGCTGAGCGCATAGGCATAGATGCTGATTTCATGGACTTCCTCTGTGTCATCCAGGAGAAGGAAA